CCAGTGATGGAGACTTTTAAATAAATTCTGATTAGTGGTTTCTAATAAAGAAATCCAGATGCTATATTTTGGTATTCGTTTGCCTTGTGACTTTCATCACTCCTTTTTTTCTCTCTTAAGATGTTTTTCCTTTTCATCCTCCAGGCAGCTCCAGGCTACCACATGGCAAAAAAGATTATAAGATTGATCACAGCCATTGGAGAAATTATCAATAATGACCCCTACATAGGAGATAGACTCAAAGTCATATTCTTGGAAAACTACAGAGTGTCTCTTGCTGAAAAAGGTAAGCCAGTTTTGGAAGCAGGTTGGCCTAAGTAGTGCACAACTTGGTGCCTTTCAAGATTCTGCTGATCTTTCTTTTCTTGCATACCTTGTTTATGGCTGTGCTGACTGAGGTTGTTGGAAGTTGCATCTAAAGAATTGCATACTGTGATCCATGGCTGACTGGCTCTTATGCAAGAAAATATACCCCTTCCAAATGCAGAGGTATAAGTGCAGTCCTGTATGCCATACAGCTGCATCAATGAAGCAATCACATGGGGTGTTGAACTGCTTAGTCTACTCAGAACAGTAAAATTAGACCACACAAGGCTTGCTCATGTTAGGTGCAGAAACAAATGATTTGTTTACAGAGGAAAATAATGAAGTCTTACCTGTTTCTCTTTTCCCAATCCATCCCAGTGATTCCTGCTTCAGATCTATCTGAACAGATATCTACGGCTGGGACTGAAGCTTCAGGGACAGGAAACATGAAATTCATGCTGAATGGAGCCCTCACTATTGGGACCATGGATGGGGCCAATGTGGAAATGGCTGAAGAAGCTGGCGATGATAATCTGTTCATTTTTGGCATGCGGGTGGATGACGTAGAAGCAATGGATAAGAAAGGGTTTGTAAATGAACCTTTCACTATGAACAGGCCATAGAAACAGCCTGTGGGCATGTGATTGATTTTTTGGACCAGCATGAAACTTCTCTTGAGCTTCTTCAAGATGGTGCTTCACCTTAGAGCAGGAGTATCATACTTGATCCCATCATGGGCTGAATCAAGATTTTGTTTGCCCTTGTGGGAACAGGCGGGCGTGGTCTAGTCATTGCAGCCAACTGGGTGGGCGGGGCGGCACGGGCCAGTCCCTTGCCATCTGTGGGACAACTCTGGGCCTATCGCGGGGCGGATTTGGTGTGCGAGCCACATGTTTGATAGCCCTGCCTTAGAGGAATTCACCAGAATTCAGTTTCTGTTTTGACAAGGAGACTTCTCTATATCGTGTCTAGCAAGCAGAGCCGTCAGGATAGACCTGACCTCCTTAAGAGTCCATTTTTCTTCTCTGAATTCTCTCCTATGTATATTAGAGTTACTTATGGTCAATATCTCTGATTATGAGGAAAGCTTATTAGAAAATTCAGTCATTGAAAACTGGTGCAGGAAATGGAAAAGCCTTGTCGTGGGAAGATTGGGTTATACATTGTGACAAAACTCTCGTTATCCATTTATAGTAATAGAAGAAGAACGTACTACAGCATAGAACAGAGCTTACATACTCATTGTATTAAAAATAGGAACATTTTTGAAATAACCTGCAATTTCCTCAAATTACTCCTCATAAATTGTATAAGATCCAATACTGATCATACCTTTATTAAGAATTAATATGCACCAATAGCCTTTTAATTTGACATCTGTGTTCTGTATTATTTCCAACTCACCTATAATTTAAACTGCTTGAGTGAGTATTGGCCTACAGCCAATATGATGTAGTGGCTAAAGTGTTGAATTAATGTCCCCCTTGATGATGGAGCAGTCTCTACATAACCACATGGCACTCACTTTCACCCAGTCTTAACTCACTGTGGAAACCCTTGTATATATCACCTTCTATTCCAAGAGAAAAGATGGGATGTAAATGCAAGAAATAAATAATAGAAGCAGAAAAGGTTAAGGGTGTCCCTATTTTTCTTGTTCAGGTACAATGCTAAGGAATACTACGACAGAATTCCAGAGCTCAAGCAAGCTATTGATCAAATAAACAATGGCTTCTTCTCACCAAATGATCCTAGTTGTTTCCACGATGTTGTCAACATGTTGATGTATCATGACAGGTAAGAGGCATGAAATGGTGCACTTTTACTATAGACTTTCTTTTAATGTCCACAGCGTGGGTTCAAATATAACTTCCAACATCTCCAG